CAGCGGCTTGCCTGAGCGCTGCACGATGCCCTGGGCGCAGCAGTCCCCGCTGGCTGGCCAGGTCCCGGATGGCGCGGGCCTCGTGCTCTGAGCTGCCATAGACGTTGGACGCGTCGATGTAGGAGGTGAGCTGGTTGATCTGCTCGCGGGGGTACACGGAGTTCATGAGCAGGGATGTCATGCCGCTGCCGCACACGGGGCTGGAGCGCACGAAGAACATGCAGCGTGCTCCGCTCCTCGCCCGCGGGTCGTTGGGCGGGATGGCCACGGAGAAGCAGGGTGGGTCGTTGCTGCAGGCAGAGCTGCAGTGCTGGCCGTCTGAGAAGCGGGCCTGGCTCAGGGCCACCACCGTGGAGTCCAGGTCGTGGTCCAGGAACTGGCCCCACTGCATCAGCATGTGGGTGAACTGCTCGTCCGGGGTGACGGCCTCCGAGCCGATGAGGGCTGTGGACACCAGGCGGGGCATGGGCAGCGGGTGGCCGTGGTACCGCCGGCCAGGGTCGATGCCCCGCGGCGTGTTGAAGCCGTTCTCGTACACAGCCTTGAGCAGGCGCTCGAAGGCAGTCAGCGAGGCGCCCCACATGGGGTGCTGCAGGTTGTTGCAGGTGCCGTCGTGGGTTCGGTACTTCTGGTGGAAGCACATGTCCGAGCAGTTGTTGACGCGCCGGTGCGCCGTGCAGCCAGAGAGGTTGGCGATCAGGCTCAGGTACTGTGGGGACACCAGGTCGTTGTAGTGGTAACCTGGGCAGAGAGCAGGAGAGCAGGGCTGTCAGGTGGGGACCAGCACCATTCCGTCCCTCATCCCTCCCGGCCAAGCCCAGGATTCTTGCAGCCAAGCGCCCAGGTGCCAGCAGGAGGGCTGGGCAGGCCTGACACACCAGCACCTGCTCCTTGTTCCAAGCTCTCCTGGGCCTGGCCCCAGGGCCCCAGAGAGCTCCACACTGTAACTGAATCACAGCTATAAACCAGAAATGCATGCAACATGGTAAATCAGCCACACTTCAACTTAAACAACAGCAGAAATAAAGAGCTGGCGGTGAAACTGCCCAGGTGAGGGAGGGGCCCCCAGGGACACCAGAGCAGGTGGCTTCCCCAAGGAAAGAGCTCTGCTAGGAGGGACCTCGGGGGAGTTAGATGCCCAGCAGCCCCACTTGCCCGGACGGAACAGCGACACCAGGCACCTGCTCTGTTCACAGTCGCCCTCTGGAGTCTCACAGCCGCTCGATCCTGAGCAGTAGAGGAGCCAGCCAGCAAGCAAGAGACCTCCTCCAGACCCCACCTGGGCACTGCGCCCCAAGGCCTGGCAGAGGCTTGGGCAGCCTAGGCCAGGGACAGAGGAGGGGGCCGTCACCCCTGCCACCAGCACAGCACCTGCTGGAGCTCCAGAAACAGCTTTCCAACAGCTGCAACCTGCATCCCACGGCATCGCACGGACCCTCCTCTGTCCATGACCCGATGGTCAGCCTGAGGGCCAGGACAGCACACGGCCCCCTGTGCTGAGCTCACCTCATGTCACCAATGGGCCTCCCATCAGACCCGGTGAGGACCACAGGACTGTCCCAGCTCAACGCAACGCACACAGTCACAATGACCATCACGCACACTGGGCCAGGAATGCTGGCCCTCGTCCCAGGGAGCGCCCACCACAGGTGCAGACGCCTGGCTGGGGAGATGGGGGATGGGGCACTGACTTGTTCCGTTCAGGTCAACCATCAGGCCATGCTGCACGTGCTCCTGAATCAGCTGCAGCGTCCGCTCGAATATCTCTCCGGCACGTGCCTGCTCCACGGTGTAGGGGTCCCTCGGGTACCGGAACAGGGCCAGCAGGTCGTTCGGGGAGCGAGGGCGGCTAACGGGCGTTTGGGGCAAAAAGGGAGGAACAGAACAAATTACTGGGAGCAAAAGTCCCCGTATCCAAAAAGAGAATCGTTGCTGTTAAAAATCTCTGTGGCCGCATTTCTGCAGACGTGCGACACGGTGTCTTCCTTACCGCAAGTGGGCGGCAACAGAACAAACGGACAAAACCAAAAAACACTAAAAACAAGTGACTAATGACAGCAGAAGAAACATCCTTATTCTATTTCAATTCAGAGGCAGAAAAAGCACTTTGGAATCGCCAACGTGAAACATGCACTAACAGCTTATGAAGTATCTTGTTTGGGCCAAGCTAGTGGTGAGCCAGAAGAATGAGTCAACATTTTTTAAAATGTCATATTTGTGAATCACCATCCAGCCTCTACTGGGAAAGTACCTATCCTTCTGTTATCTTGACCCCAGAAAGTCGTTGCTAACATGGTTTATGATTTTTAAAGGAAAAGTTTTTCTTCAGATGAGAAGACAGGTCAAAACTCTGCCTCCTAGAGTCGCACGCACTCTTTGACCCCAGACCCTGAGTCTCCATCTGCTCCCGCACGCACCTGTCAAACAGGTGTGTCCGCGTGGAGTTTATGGCTCTGTCCACGGTTGCGATCGCTTCCACGATGGACGTGGCTACAAACGGGTCCCCGTTACGACTGACATCGGGAACTGGAAAAAGTGAGGTCACACATTACCAGAAAAACCACACACAAATGAGCCCGAAAGCCGTGTCTAGACACCACATCACTCAGACACAGGCAGACTTCCCTCCAAAGGTTACTCCTAACTTTCACACCAAACTTAAATTGCTGACTGCATCACAAATCCCACAGAAGACGTTTTCAAACGGTATGAAAGTGACAGGCATTTTTGACTTTTACAGTCATGTGATGATAAAAGCAAAGAGCAGCCATAACATGAAACAGTGAGGACCTTCCACCGGAGCATCCCTAACGCAGGTGCCGCCTGTGCCGTGCTGGGTGGAGAGTGTGACGGCTGAACGCCGGTGGGTTCTGTGTGTTTCCCATCAGAGTCGAACCTCCCCTGGACGCCCGGATCTCAACTTGCTCACCCTCCAAGACGCTGCTCCCCCAACACCCTGTCCTCAGGGACGATCAGACATCACACCTAGAGTGCGCGCGAGCGCACACACGTGACACGACCACATATGCACGCGTGCACGCGCACGTGACTGTACACATTGCACACGTGTCCTCACACAAGGCATACACGGCTAAGCCTGCTTCCCTCTTTTCATTTCTTCTTCACTTAATATTGACATTTTTCTAGCTTTAGAGTTTGCTAAATAAGGTAAGTTTGCTCCAATCAATCTCTGACCTTTGTCTTTTGAAAAGCCTCATGCCAGGTCCCCAGTAACATGCATTTTAATAAACCCAATGGTATTTTTTTCTCTCAAAATGCTCAACCTTTCTACAGAAAATACCTTTACTGAATGGTTGCCTTCACTGGTCCCAGGAGACCCTCCCTCCTGCCTGGAAGGTACTGCCTCCCGACTCTGATCTCAGACAGAGCCTGAATTTACTAAGTTTTAGAACCTAATATTTTTATGCCAAGTGTTAGACCAATGAAGACAATCTTACATAATTTTATCACCCTAGTATTTCATTACTACCAACAATTTAAATTGAATTTGTTTTTCTCCAAGCACAGAATAATAATTCAAAAACACTTCTCTGTGCGCCTTTAAAAAAAAGGTGAAGGAAATTCACTCAAATGTTCAGGTGGTTCTTTCTTGGGAGTAGGGTTATGGGTGGGAAATTATATTTAAATTTCCTATATAACTAAGTCATGTTAAAGTAACATTATTTTCAAGTATAAAAATAAACATTAATTGGAAAAAACACTGTTTTTAAGTCAAAGGATTCACTGATTTAAGCTGTATTCACTTCACACTCTAATATAATGGGAAAATTACGTCACTTAAAATTTTTTCTTAAAAAAAAGCCTCGAAGGGCTTCATTTTTCCTTTACTGTTGTCGCCTGCGGGTGCCCACAGGTCAAGGTGCCCACACGTGGGTTGGGGTGGGGGTTGGCGTATAAACTAGTCGCACAGCGTCCTGTCCGGGCACTTGCTGCCTGAGGAGAAGGCAGATTGGGTGTGTTCAAGTGGAGAAGGCAGAGTGTCGGTGCTCCGGAGTCCCTGGAGCGGGCAAGAGCTGGGGTGTGGGTGTGGGGCTCCCCCTGGGGGCCAGCTTCCTGTGCCGAGGGGCACGCCTGACCGTGGGGCACAAAGGGCCGGAGACGGAATGCAGGCTGGGGGCGGGGCAGGAGGCTCTGCGAGGCTGATGGCCCTGGAACACTTGGGGCGGCATCAGGGATTTCTGTTCTAGGAAGGTGGAGGTGACCATGGACAGACCAGACGGTGGGCCCGGCTGGACGCTCTGGCTGAGCGATGCGGGCCTGGTGGACAGCTGGCGTCTGCTTGGCTCTAGGGCACCGACCAGACCCAGGGAAGGGAGGGGTCCATGGTGATTGGGGTGTTTATACTGAGGACTAAGCACACCCAGGACTGCACAAGGCCACACACCCAGAGCAGAGAGAAAGCAGGGTGAAGGGCCGAGCCTCCTTCATCACAGTAACTGCATCTGTGGTTCTGCAAAATGGTGACTGCTGATTGCCTGTTGTGGATCTAAAGCACTCTGGATGACCGCTAAACCAACCGTGAAACGCAGGTCGAGGACAGCTGCTCCCAGTGCCCGAGCACAGTGGCTGCAGAGCCCAGAGCAGTGGACGAAGGGCAGCCCTGCCCCCCCCACCCTCTCCGCAGGTCTAGGACAACCTCGAACTCCTAACCCGCTGGCCCCGGGGGCCCACACTCTACTCTGCAGCCCGCAGCCCGCACCCCGCGGGCGGCCTGGGCCCGGTCTCACCGTTCACGCTCAGCACCACGCTGACAGAGGCCTGCCCAATCGCGTTCCGGGCCACACACTCGTAGCGGCCAGAGTCTGCAGGCCCCACGTCGTGGATGGTCAGGAATCCCTCGGGGCTGATGTGAAACTTCCCACTTTCCGTCACCTGAACCCCATCCTGGAGCAAAATAAAAGGCAGTTAGAGTGGAGATGAGACTAAGGGGCAAAGGCGCTGGCCCGGGAGTGGGGCCCCGTTTATCAGGACCTCACGATGGACACTCGCAGCGGCTGGGCTCAGACCCACCCGACGCCAGAAAGGATTTTTACCTGTTTGCACCCAGAAAAGATTAAGACACTGACCCTGCTCTGTGGGAGTTTATAGGGTCTTCCCCGGGGAGGGGGCACAAAAGGCACATGCAAGGGACGAGGAAGGCAGAAAGCTGGGGCGCCCGTGGGGGAGAGGCCAGGACGCCTGGGACACAGAGGGTGAGGCAGATGACGCCCCAGCCCGAGGGAGGAGGCCAGAGAGGCCAGGCCGACGGCTTCCTTCCCAGGAACCTCTGTGCTCCTGGACGTTTCATGTCAAAGCTCTTGTCTGTGATTAAACGCTTACCCGTTTCTCCACTGGGCTTCATAAAAACAACACAGAGACATGAAACAAAAAATCTTCTCTGGTGATTACAGGGCCGAGGATCTAATAAGAGGGTTTTCATTGCTTTTGTCACCAAGAAAGACGTGGAAAGGAGAATGTTCTGGGTTTGCTTTGTTTTCCTTTTATGAGTAAGGACACCACAAAATCGTTTCCCTCCTGCTGACAACTCGGATGCTCTTCCACTACAGGAGGTCTGGGGAAGCAGCCGGGGCGCAGCTGACCCACCAGCCACATGCCCGCGGCCGTTACCTTGTTCCAGGTGATGGCGGGCTCGGGCTCCCCCTGGGAGCTGCACGGGAGCTGCACGCTGCTGCCCACCTCCACCGTCATGTCACTGGGGACACTGGTGAACACAGGGGTGACTGGAAGGCAAGGCACACGGCTGGCACCATGGTCCTGTCCCCCGTGTCACGTGGAGAGCCCAGAGGACTCGTGATTTGTCCCCAGGCTCCCAGAGAGCGTGGGCCCCGCCTCGGTCAGGGCACTGAGCGCCCCCGCCAGCCTCCCCTGCTGAAGCTGAGGCTGCAGGAGTGAAGGAGCAGGAAGCCGCACCCCTACCCACTCTGCACCATCTGCAGGACCCCCACCTACCTCGGGGCTGGACCGTCAGGTGCGCCGTGACCCTCTGGGAGCCGATGATGTTGACAGCCTGGCACTCGTACTGGCCCTGGTCGTGCAGGGCAACGCCCGAGATCCTGAGCGTTCCCGAGGACAGGACCAGGTGCCGCCGGTCCACTGACAGCTGGCTCCCTGTGGGCGGGGGTGCAGTCAGCGACACGGGGGACAGGATCGTGGTGTCGGGCAGAGCTCTGTCTGGGGCAGCTCAGGGGTAAAGAGCTCAGGGTCCTGTCCCTGGACACTCCGTGAAGGGGGTGAGTGCTAAGGAGGCAGGAACCCGGACGGCAGAGGGCTCAGGCAGCGTCAGCACACGCTCAGGGGACCTGGGACAGGCTGGTCCCACATTGGGCGGAGAGGGGCAGAGGGCTGGGGGGGCACTATTTACAGACAAGTGGCACCCCCAGCAAGGATGACCTCTCCTCTGAAAACAGGGAGTTCCTGAGTTTGGAGCTCGTCCAGAGGGCTATGAGGATTCCTGGAAGGGCCCCTTGGTGGAGGAAGGGACAGGGCTGCCCTCTGGTCTGGGGCTGGAGTCGCCGTTCCGTTCTGGGACAGACCCTGAGGGTCCACGAGCATCAGCATCGGCCTCTCCCCAACTTCCCCGGCCAGGCTACTGTCAGTCCCCAGGGAACACGGTCTGAACCTTCATCAAATTATGAGCCCAGCGGTTTGGCAGCTGGAGAAAAGGGGCGGGGGCCACACCCAGGGAATTAATGTGATCAAGTCACAGCACCTTCTGGAGAAACAGCAAGAGAATGCTGGGAATTCAAGTGAGAGTGAAAGTTAAGGGAGAAAAGAATATATAAATATATATATATATATAATATATTTATATATTCTGCTACCAGTCCAGAAGTTTCTCTCCTGCACTTGATTAAATCTCATTCAGGGTTCTAGGAAGTGCACCCTGAAGGCAGGACAGACGACTTGGGAGGAGACGGGCCTGGCACCCCCCACCCCTCAGGAAGGACAGACCCTCAGTGTCCCGCGGGTGGTGGCGCCAGAATGGGACAGGGAGGGTCCCACCAGGTTCAGCCATCGACAGCCTGGCCTCAGGGTCTGCATCTTGAGGGAGGGGAGCGGGGGCTGTTCTGGTCACTGTCTCACCTCCTTTCGTCCAGGCGATGACTGGCTGAGGGTAGCCCTTGGCCTCACAGTGGAAGTCAACTGTCTGACCCTCGGTGACAGCTCGGTCCTGAGGCGTCACGGTGAACTGAGGAAGGGCTTCCGGGAGGAAAGACATTGGGAAGGGGGTGTTTAGACAACAGCTTTGGGTGAAAATGCTACCCTCCTTAGCTGGCGGGAGGCACACTGCTCTCAGAGAGGAAGAGGATGGTCCCCCAGGTCCCTGACGGGGGCGAAGTGTCCGAGCAGGAAGGGTGAGGCAGGAGAAGAGGGAATGCGGGGTGCTTCTCGGCCGCACACGGAGACCCTGCAGGAGGCCTGCCCTGCAACGCCGGGGCCACAGCGCAGCGAACACGGACAGCCACCTATATCGGTTTGTGGAGGGGCCTGACTTAAAGGGATTCATCCGACTCTTCAGCCGAACTTAGTATTTGCAAATGGTTAGAAATGTCACCTAGTGAATAGTGACAGCGTTACTTGATGATTATTAGGTGAAAAATAAATTGCAGAATAACACAGCCAGTACAACTCCATTTTGATAAGAGCTACAACCACAGCCAAAATAGGCCAAAACCAAAGGACATGATCATCCATGCAAAGGAGGAGCTGCAGGGCGAAGTAAGGACAGGTTGTGAGTGGCGTGGCTGCCGGTGGAGGCAGCAGGAGCTGGTGGGGCGAGAGGCGGAGGGACAGAACGGATTGCTCTGCTTCTTGCACTTCTGTGTTGTCTTAGCGCTTCCCAGCCGATGACCCGCTCCACAATTTATTTAAAAACTAACAGACTCATTATAAAGTCAAGAAACTTGGCAATACACAGCATAAGTAAGTCTTACAACCACACGTACTCTCAGCACCCAATGTCCAAAAACCGATCCTCGGGAAACTCCACGAGGAGTGCAAGACTGACTAATTCTTACACACACGAAGGCCGTGTGCACATCCGCATTCACATCGGGAACACAGCCAAAAACAACTCCCCAACCTCCTCAAGCCTCCATTTGGAAACTAAATTTAAAGCCGAGTCGCGCAGAGAAGGTCAGATGTGATGGACAAGATCAAGGGGTCCCAGGAGTGGGACCAGGATGGAGCCCTGGGGGGGCTGCTGGGGCGCCCGGGCCGTGCGGCGGGCGCGTGGGGAGGGAGGGTCTCTGCATGGCCGGCTCCTCACCCTGGACGATGATGAAGGCGGTGGCGTGGATGCTGTCCACCGTGTTGGATGCGAAGCAGGTGTATTCCCCGCTGTCCTCCTGCTCCACCTTCTGGATGTAGAGGCCGCCAGATGGGGTGACACTCACCCGGGGGTCCGCGGGCACGGGCGTCCGGTCGCCCCTCGTCCAGGTGATCCGCGGCGGAGGGTGGCCTGTGGCGCTGCACTCCAGGGTGACGCTCTCCCCGACCAACACCTCCGTGTTCTGGGGCTGGATTACAAAAGTGGGGCGGGCTGTCACAAGGAAACACAGATTCTCAGTTAACACCCTCCGGGTTAGCAAACGGCTTCTGCTTAGGTTTTTCTGTTTTCATGCTGCGCCCCTACCCAGGGACCTCTAACGTAAGTAACACAAACGCAATTCAGCTGCACACTTTGTCTGCTTTCCTTTTTAAAGAAACATGCAGACAATAAATATGGGCCACTGCCTGGGGTCAACTGACCATCAGCAGCTCCGACTGACCGGCCAGAGCCGGTTTCTTCTTTAAAAGTGGACTGAGCTCTGTGGAGAAGTCACACTTCTGTTTATTCTGCTTGCATTCTGTCAGTTTCATAATAAACCATGCAGCTAGCTGTTACTGTTATAAAACATTGTTTTTGAAGGGTATTTAGAACATATAGAAATAACAAATTTCCCTATAGAAAAAAATGCAAATTAATATTATACTGAGAAAATATTTTTCAACTCTAAATCCAGAGGGAAAAAAACCCCATACACTTATTATCGGGCTTGTGAGCTGAGTTTGTACAGAAACAGAACTTTCACGCATCACACATCGGCAGCACAAAGTGCCACGGTCCACCTGGACAGTAACGGGGACACACAGGTTAAACTAAAAATTCATTCTCCCTTTTACTCAGAAATTACTCTACTAAGAATTTACCCTACGCATAATTTTACAAGATTGTACAACAATATAAGTACCAAAGAGGGGCTTTTTTTTTATTACTGCATTTTTAACTCAGGCTGACATCCTTATCCACAATTTTCCAACTCAAGAAGCTCCAAAAATAAAGTATTTTTTCATAACTTCTTTGTTCAGTACCTTGACGTCCCTAGCGTACGACTACCCAGTCTTCACTTACCCACTTGCTGTGAGCGTCCACACAGTTTGCTGTAGTTTATGTACTGATTACTGGGTGTCACCCAAGGTTCTGTGACAGCACAAGTCAGTAAACAGATTATGCTCTGTGTGCACTTCTAAAAAAAATCCCCAAATTTCTGAATGTCAAACAACATCTGGCCCAAGGGGTTTTGTATAAAGAGGTTCGGACCTGTGGCAGCAAAAGATCTGGAAAAGACTTAATGTACTGCAAAGGGAAGTAGCTAAACAGGTGTGTCACCCGGGTAATGACGCTGTGCAGCCGATCATTAAAAAGAAAAGGGTAAGAAAGCCCTTCGAGAGCTGACATGAGCTGCCTCTTCCCTTGCAGGCACTGACAGTATTTTCCAGAAGGATGAGTAATTTGAGGAGGTGGGAGGGAGTGGGAATTCCGTGGACGAGGCGAGGAGTCAGGAAAGAGACGTCTTTACATCTTTGCCTATTTGTTAATGCTTAAGCCCCATCGTCACATGCCGAAGTAACAGGAGATCGCAGAAAATGCAGAAATGACATTTAGCATCAGCACCTGTGAGAAAGGCAAGCTAGAGACTGGAGAGCTGCCCACAGGGACAAGAACACCAAAGTCAAAGCCCGTCTTGAAGGCACCCCCAGGCCCTGCGATCGTAAACGTGCTGTCTAAAAGCCTCAGGAGACGGAAAAGTGAGGGCTTTCCAAGATGAGTCAGACAGAAAACTTCAGGATGGTCCGTCCCCAGCGCATCCGCCATCAGCATGAGAAAAAGCTGGAGAGAAAGTCAGTGCTTCCCCCCCTACCCCACCCCGGGGACTGGGCTGGGCAGACGGAAAAATAAACATCATATTAAGCTTTATCAGCCAAAGTGCATCCTCACGTAGGTCTGCTGTCTATTCACCCCACGTCAGGCAGAAAGGAGGTGACCCCAGGAGAAGAGCTGAGACGCAGGAAGAGATGAGCAGACCTGGAAGTGACAGCATGTAAGCACAGACAGATGAACATCAGCACAAAATAATGTTCTTTTATATGTTAAAAAACAGAACTCAGCCTATAAACTAAGGTAAGTGACTGTGCTTGAGACAAATGCAGAGACAGTAACTGCAGACTTCGATGATGTAAGAATGCTCTTGAAATTCCCTAGGACAGCCGCTTAAAAAAAAGAAATAGGGTCTCTAACTTCCAAACTAGAAGTAGAAAATAAAAGGTGAAAAGAAGTGTTTCAAAATAAGGCAAAAAACACAGAAAAGGTTGGATAATTAGTCCAAAATAAGAGGGAGAATTTATACATCTAAATATATTGCTGACTATAATAAATACAAATGGGCTTATTTTAAAAGTCAGTCTGATTGTTTTTAAGAATCTAGGTCTATGCTATTTATAACATTCCAAATCTTTTAACATAGAAAGGTTCAGAGCAAAATGGTGGAAAAGGTACATCTGACAAACATTAATCAAAAGAAAGCTGGTTGCCTCTGTATTAAACCAAATTACTCTGAAGGCAGAAGGCGCTAATAAGAGGTGGAAGTATCAATGATCAAAAGTTTAATCTGCCAGGAAGGTAAGAATTGCAAACTTACAGGCCCCAAATAACACGGCTTCAGAAAAGATAAACTGCATCTAGCCCCCTGTAACTCACGGAGACCCACACTGAGTCGTGGTCATTACAGGAATTGCGGGGATGGCAAACTTCTCCCGTGAAGGACCACAGAGCATTTATTTTGTGCTTTAAGGTCGTAATCTTTGAGTGTGATCATGGTCCAATAAAACTTACTTAACAGACACTGAGGTTTGAACTTCATATAATTACCAAGTATCCTAAAATACCACTCTGAAGCTTTTCCGTCAACGTAAAAGTGTGAAACACATTCTTAGCTCAAAGGTCTTCGAAAAACAGGCAGTGGGCCAGGTTTGGCAGCCCCTGGTGCAGGCTGAGGGGCTGCCCCTCGCTCTGAAGTGACCCTCCCTTCAGGACCTGGGAGACCCTCCAGGTGCATTTTCAGGGAGAATTGCGACATGCTCGCCTAGCACACTAAAGAAGCCTCTTGCTCCTGAGAGAGAAACAAAAAGTCAGATCAAAAGGCGTCAGATTTGGAACTCTCAGGCTGTAAGACTTTGGTATTCCTGTTTAGGAATTCATTTAACCTGCTAACACGGCAGCTCTGCTAAGGAAATGCACTCTTCACGCTCTCCTGTCCCCTGTGTCCTGTGACACACACCTCCGCGCTGCACACTCTGGACAGTGTTCTGTGGGTTTCCTTGTTCCTTGCAAACAAAGCAGAGCTCCGCTGGGACCAGAAGCCGTGTCCTGTCTGTGGCAGGTTCACAGCAATGTCACTTTACAAAGATGCTGGACGCCTTGCTCCCCTCGGGGACACTGGGATTAAAGGGCTTTGCCTTGGCTGTGGTATAAGACCCGTGGTCTTCTCTGAGCTGAAATCTGACAGCCAGGAATGCTCGCTCGCTGGTAAGCACAGACTGTGTGCAGGCTGAGCTGTATCAAGTGACACAAAGATCTTGTACTAAAAACCTAAACACAGAAATGCACAAACCTTCCACTGCCATCGAGGGGGCTGTAATGCCCTGAACTGCAAAGCGCGAGGGACACAGAGCCCGGCCCCCAGCAGGAGGACGACGCCACTGACCCACGAGGGGCCAGAGCCACTGGGCTGCTTCTGGCACCGCGGGGCGCGTGGCCCTCCCCACTGGACCCTTCTCCAAGGCCCTGCTCCTCTTCTGACCAAAGCCCGCAGAGTCAACACTTTGACAAGGGCAGGGTTTGTAACCTGGCGGGACTCAGGCCAGTGCGAGGCTGCAGCTGTGTTTCCTTTGGCTTGAAGTCTTTTCAGACCAGGTGCCAATATTTTAGATGTGGGAATTTTGCATAAAATTCTAAATTTTTGCCTTCTTTTAAAATAACCAAAGCCCTGAGCACGAAAAAGTCTCCACTGCCAAAGAGCAACAAGTGACAGGTCCCTTCAGGCCAGCGAGTGGGAGGTGCCAGGGCCGGGGCACACGTCTCTCCAGGTGTGAGAGAGACTCCACCTGGACTGTGCACAGCATGGCCGGCCTCCACTGTCCACTCTGAGAGACCGTCCTGGAGTGGGGGCTGACCGTGAGCCAGAGCAATGGCCGGAAGTCGCGGACAACTCCGCCGGCCCTGCGGCAGAGGCGTCGGGCGGAGCCCGTGGTGTTCATTTGCCTCTCACCAGTGGGAGCGGGGACCGAGGGGGCGGGCAGGGCAAGGATGGTCTCGGGAGGACCCCCAAGCAGCTGGCTGGCGAACACTCTACGCACCTGGAGAGCCGAAGTACCTGAGGGTCACCTCCTGCGTCTTCGCCTCCCCGGCCACGTTCTTCGCCATGCACTGGTAGACGCCCTGGTCTGTCTCCCGCGTGTTCTGGATCATCAGGGTCCCGTCGCCCAGCAGGTTCAGGCGGGAATCCGTCTTCATGCTCAGCTCGTTGCTGTAAAGGCAGAAGCCGGTGGGCTCAAGCTCTGAAAGCACAGGGACACCCCAGCCCCCGGCGGGAGGTCTGGTCCAGGCGCGGGACCCCAGCCTGGAGGCACAAGGCACCTGGAGATGCGTGGTGTGCGGGCCTCACTTTCCCGGAAGCTTTCCTTCCAAACAGCCCGAATCAGCCAGCATTTTTGGGAAAAGTGTCCAGGTATTTACATCTGTAGTTAACTCATATTTTTACTCTTATCATGTACACGTTCAATCTATAAATGTTTTAAGGTGGTCCTCTTTCCAAAGGGAAAAAATGATGTAATGGGAAAAATTCGCAGGAAATCCTTTCCCTTGTTTCTGGTAAACTCATTAAAGATAATGAGGTAGAAACACTTCAGTTACTGAAAGCAGATTACAAACGCCGACAGAACAAATCAGCCGCTGTCCCAGAGCTTTCCGAGGACGAGGCTCAGAGTCCCAGGTGCCTCAGGGAAAGACCCTGGCATGCGAGACGCTGTGGGCTTCCCAGCCACCTTCCTCCTGCTCCTCTCCTGTGTCAGCCCGGTGACCCCTGCCCAGGGATGTCCAGATGGAAGCAACCGTCGTCTCAGGTCCCATGGGTGAGACTCGCCGACGGGTCTCCCATAGACACTGCGAGGCCACAGAGGTGGGGCTGCCGGCAGAGGAGGCGGACACAGCCCCGCACCAGACGTCGGGCCTGGGCTCTGGGTCTCACTGCAGTGACGGGCTCTGCGATCTGACGCTAAAAGTGTCAGTGTGTTCGTCATAAATGCAGGTGGGAAGGGCCTGAGCAGATTTCACGCTTCTCTGCCTTGTAAGTGCACACGCCCTGAAGGAATCCCTCCAGCGTCCGCTCTGGACTGTGGGTCTCGCCCCTCAGGGCTGTCCCAGAGCCCGAGCTCCTAAGACTGAGGACAGCATCTCCAGTCTTCTGCACCCAGCCCTGGCCCCAGCCTGACGTCACCCTGGTCATGACAGCAAATCCAGGCCCAGGGCCAGCCCCATGTCCCGGCAAGCAAGACCGCGTCTCGGCAGACCCCCCGCCAGGCCCGCTGTCCACCTGCCCGTCTGCTCTGCAAACACTGCTGGACCCGGGAGCCGGGCCGCACCTCCGCTGGGAGCCTGGCCCAGGCCCGGAGGGGCGGTGGCTCAGCGGGCCTCAGGCTCCCATCTCCTCACTCCACCGAGACTGAGCACGGCTGGGGCCGTGTGGAAACCCTGAACCCACAGGCAGGGCCCTGCTAGCAAGCAAGTGGTGCCGGTTCCCAAGCAAATAAACAGGGGCAATGATTACGCGGTCTCAGGCTGAGGCTTCTCCAGGACTCAGTTCAAAGCGTGCGGCCAGCAGGACCATCTTCTCACTCAGACGACCGTCGGAGTCTGACCCCATCCCCGGCCGCCCCCACCCCAACCAAAATGACTGTGGACGGAAGGGAGACCGTTGTTGCAGGAGGCAAACCAGATGCCCAGGAGCAAAGTGCATGTGCTCCCCGAAGACGCTGTCCCCACGGGGAAGACGCCATCTTGTCAGGACGAGCCCACCCTCCAGGTGAGAAGCCCCAGGGACCAGCCCCCACAGCCGCCGCCGGAGACAGTGGGCCTGGGGTGCAGTTTTCCTTCCGCTCAGCAGCCCGGCAGGGGCACGACATGCTGACCGCCACGCAGCCAGGACCCAGCCCACGGGGGAGCTCAGGCCGAGCGCCTCACAGAGGCCGTGAGGCAGCAGAAGTGCCGCCCCGGCCCGGCGGCTTTTTCAAAGCAGGAAAGACACCTCCTCCTTGGTGCTCTTCGTGGAGGACGAGGGTTGTCGGGTGGCGCCCGGCGGCCTCCCGCCCTGAACCACTTACTTGTTCCTGAGCCAGATGATCTCGGGCTTGGGGTTGCCCTCGGCTCTGCAGGTGAAGAACACGGTGTTCCCCAAGGTGACGTCTGCGTCCTGGGGCTCCGACGTGATCCGGGGTCTTTCTGCACCAGAAAGGAAACCAGGCCTCTTTGGTCTTAAACCGTCACATGAACGAGAACCCAGAGCAAATCTCTTTAGTTCAAGAGAAAACCGCTTCCGTTCAACCCAAAAGCATTCCCACGAGGATGGTGCGATTCTCCACGGAGAAGATGGTTTAAAGCCGAATCACACAGCTTTTCTCGCGCCTGAGCCCACCCGCCCAGAGCCCTGGCGACCACCCGCCCTGAGTGGGTGCACTCCTCCCAGAGCCGGACACGCCAGGGCCACAGTGTCCAGGGAAGGAAAGGACACACAACGGTACTTCTCAGCAGAAGCCGCCTGAGGGCAGCAGGCTGCGGGAGTCAGGCCGGCCAGAGGGCTCCCCTACCCCCGAGCCCCTCACTCAGTTCCAGGGTCCCCGCTCCAGCCTCTAAGGCCACCCAGTCACTGGCTGCAGAGAGGCCGCCCTCCTGCCCTCTGGCCTGCTGGGCAGCTGTCTTCTCCATGTCCCCACGGCCACGCAGACTGGTCACTCACTAACTAGGAAACTCAGAGAACTGACCCTTCCAGGTCTCAACGTACTCATCCACCCACACGAGCGAATGAGTGCGTGTGTGCACGTGTGTTCGCCGCCCTCACCACCTGACGTCTTCTTGCCCAAAGCGTGGTCGGCATCACTGTTACTGCGCGGCCGTCATCACAAAGCCCCCCAGACTCAGCACGGTCCACACTACCTCCCGGAACCTGCGCTGCGCTCGCTCACCACAGTCCAGCTCTTCCGGGGTGATGGTTGCCACCGACCGCCCCTGGATGCGTCGCGGGTACTCGCAGGTGGCTGCGGCCTGCGCGTTCCCTGACCTGGCGTAGGTTTTCAGCAGGTCCGCCAGCCACAGGATCTCGCAGTCACAGTGCAGCGCGTTGGAGTCCAGGCGCCTGAGAAGGAGGCAGCGGCCGGTGAGGCCACGGACGAGCGGTGACCAGCTCAGACCCCTCCTGCCGACCGGGGGCCTCCCTGGGCAGAGGGGGAGCCCAGAAGCGGGGAAACCCAAGTGACGCAAATGAAAGATGCCAAAAGGAGGAATCAAATTGTCTGTTTTAGGTTCAAAAGATGGACAAACACGAGCTGGACGAGTCAGGAAGGCTTCCTGAAAGACACGGGACAGGAGCCCTATCTGAAGCCAGCGAACTGGCCCTGAGCCCTCTTCAGGGCAGGCGCTGGGTCGCCAGCAGTATCCCACTTAGGCCCTAAACATTCCCGAAGGCAGGGTCGGCCCGCAGGGCACAGCGTGCACAGAATGCGTGACCCCGTAAGCTCCTGGGGAAGCGCCCGGTGAGTCTGGAAACCCCTGTTCCCACAGGTGCCAGGTGGGTGTCCGTCCACCGCTGGGAAGGAGGCTGTTCCTGCGGCAAAGCCTCTGTAACAGGAGGACCAGGAACACGGCTGGCTGACGGGCACGTGCTGGCAAAGGGGCGTGACCGCTCACATCACGCCTGGGAGGTGGAGGCAGGGCTGTCCGAACAGGGCCGAATTCACACCCCAGGCCAGAGTGCCCGGGAGATCGAGGCCTGCGATGCACACCTCCCACCTGCGTTACCCTGGGACGCTGGCTCGGAGCGGCTGGCAGGCAGAACCGGCCCCCAGCCTGGATGGCCATCTCTCTGACAAGTGAAGCTGTGGGGGACCCAGCACCCGCCTGGCTCCCCTGGCCTGATGGCCTCTCTGACAATCATAAATTGTTAAGGAGCAGGACCTCTGTGCTCAGGGTGGGCCCTGAGACAGAGGAGGAGAGGCGAGCCCAGGTGCGTGCCAGTGGCCAGCCCTGCCCAGGCCAAGCGGATGGGGAAGGAAGTCCCCCTGCCCTGCCGCTGGGGCCGGGGGTGAGGGGCGGCTCAATGAGGCGGAGAAACCCGAGTCTCACAGACTGAGTGGAGGCCGGGGGCAGCCAGCGCACAGCACCGAGACCCCGGGGCTGAGGGGCTGGCCAAAGGAGGCGAGAACCGGAGGAAAACTTTCTCAGTGTCTTGCAGACTCAGGTAACCCCCGCCGCCCTGAGCGTCTCGGGCGCTGCTGGCAATTTTTATCTACTCGCTCTCGACTATCAAATGGGCAGCAGTCGTCTTATCTGCTACCCAGAACGCAGTTTTCAGTTTGGCTGGGGATTTCTTTATCCCGAAGAACCAAAAGCAATCATAAATTGTGACAGAAGCCTGTGTCTTACTTCGCTAAAGCAAAAAACAATAAACCGAAGGCCGCTGTGGGCTGCGGCTTGCTGCTGAGAGCCTCTGTCTCTCAAGCTTCATTGTCCACACTCAGTAATACCTAACTGACAAACAATGGCCTTCCAGACCTCGAGGAAGAACACAAATAGGTCGTCGGGCGGCCTTCTCCCTCAGTATCGGGAGCCCTAGTCCCACGATAAGGAATGACTCAGCGTGGAGGTGAAGCATTCTGAGAGACCTAGAAACAAGGAGAATTCCGCTACGTACACGCCTACGGCAAAGGCACAGGATACAGTGTAGAGATGCCTTGCAGACTGACTTTATTTCCACCAGTAACAGAGGCAACATGGAATTAAAGGTTAATCTGAAGAATATAAAATCGATTTAAGGGGGAGGGTACAGCCCAGTGGCAGAGAGCCTGCTCAGCATGCGCGAGTTCCTGGGTTCAATCCCTGGCACCTCCGTTAGAGACTGACTAACTAACTGACTAAAGCTAGCCACCTCCCCTGCAACCGAACAAAGCAAACTGACTTTGAAGAAGCCTTGCTTGCCACGAGAGCACGGGTCTGCGGTGCGTTCTGGGTCCCCTGGGTTTCCATTCTGCGCTCTGGTGGTTTAACCCCCTCTGCCTCGTGCATGCTCCCTTCCTAACGAATATTCAGTTTGCAATACATTCTTCAGAACACCCAGCAGAAAGGTCAGGTAAGCGCACAGCCTGGAGGAGTCAGTCTTTGCTGAAGGCAACGTCAAAGGTCATTCTACTTACAATCTTTTCATAGATTCCAAGTGACTAAATGTTCCCGGAACCAAATGTGTAATTCGGTTGTTGTGTAAAAACCTGTAACAAACCAAAACAGCTCTTTGAAGTCCTTCTTAAAAGTGTGCAAAAGAGCCCAAGCAGTTAACCAGGCCAGCTTTTAAAACCGTCTCAGTGACGCGTGTTTCACACAAGTGAATCTGAGGGGGTCACTCAGTGCAGAACGCGACTACATTTCCCGTTTTGTCAGCTCCCCAACAAAGGGGACGGGCAAGTCCCGCTTGTGAATTGTCTACCAACGTCTCCGGGTGTGCGAGCAGGAGCGACCTTCACGCTATCGCCGCGAACGCGGAGCCGGGGCCCCAGGCGCTGCAGGTGAGGAGGGAAGGTCAGGAAGGAAACGCAACTTACAGCCTCTCCAGCTTTGGCAGGTGTTGAAATGACTCTGGGTCCAAAGTTTCTATCTGATTAAAGTGCAGGTATCTAGAAAAGGTTTAAAAAAGATGGAAAAGAAACAATTTACAATGATTTCAATTTCCTTCTACAGGTCTATGGACTTTCTGCTGACCACATTTCTTCTCTAAGTCATTTCAGATCTGCAGGTCAACAGGGAACTCCCCGGGTGCCCTGCGCCCTGCGGACAACGGGTGAAGTCAGCAAGTGGGGAGACGGAGCGCAGACCATCGGGTCTGCGGGGCAGGTAGCTAAGGGCCACGCGCTCCGACCGGCCTCCTTCCCACCCAGAGGGGAGGAGCCAGGGCCGCTCACTTCCCGCACAGGCAGACCTTCCCAGGAGAAGTCAGCAGGGCCTCCACGACAGCACGCATTCAGGATGCGGACGCCTTCACCCACACCTTCTAACTCACTGTCGAATTCAGGAGAGCCTGACCTACACCTCCAGCCGACACGGGGTGCCTGCCACCCACGGAGACAGCCACCCCCAGAACAACAGGAGGGGAGCTGCACCGGCTCAGGAAGCCGCGCGTGTCCTCAGACGCCCCCTGCTCACACCTCCGCCCTGGGCACAACTCCTCACTTTCCATAACTGACCGTCTCTGGTAAAAGCGGTTTCTTCTAATTTTCGTGAATACCGCTTCTCTCACTTTGAAAATCTGTGAGTTTTTCCCTGAGAAAAACACACAAGTCACCTTCCACCAGGGGCTTTTGCACGAGCCCCTCCGGCCACAGCCTCGCCACCCCCTCAAGCACGCGCCTGCCCCTTCAAGGCGCGTGGGGACCCAAGCACCAGGAGCCGAGGCAGGCCAACCCAGCAAGCACGCCCTCTCTGTGCCCGCGCCGTCCCCAGAGCCCCTCGCCATCCCCAGAGCCCCTTGCTAACTCCGAAACTTCGGTGACTTCAAGGTCGCCCGGCTTCGCCTGCACCCTCCCTGTCCCGTCCGCGCCTGGTCCCCTGGGCCAGCTCGCTGGGAGAACCAGCCAGTGAGTCTGCGTGCCCGCAATGACGTGGCTACAGGGCTTCCCACCCTCCCCTCCCCCAGCCCGGCGGGGACGGGCCTGTGTCCCCCGCCCTCTCTGCCTGAGTGGGGTCCTGAGAGGAGGATTAAAGGGGACACCTTCCTTAGTGACCACCCAGGATGCACATCCCCAACGGCCACTGGGGACCAGCCCCTGGGGGCTCTCCCCCGTGCCAGGCACAGACACGCTGCACGTGGAGACACGCTCAGCCACGTTCAGGGGGCTGCGGGCCAGCTGGGTGGGTCGAGGGAGAGCGCAGACGAAGGGAGGTCACGCCAACCCCAATTCTGAGTGGCTGTTTAAAAATCGACGTGCCCACAGCCAACAGGGCAAGCGGCCAAGAGGAGGCTGACCAGACGTGAGGGCGGCCTTGAGGACGCCCAGGGGTGCAGCTACCCCTCCCGACAGCAGAGAGAAAACCAGGCCAAAGGCAGGAAAGGGGCCCCCAACCCAGTCCACCGTCCCTGCCCCCTGCCCGCTGCCTTCCAGGGAGCCCAGGTGAGGCTCCCCCCAGGCTGCTGGACAGGGCAGCTCTGCAGGTACCTGGAAGCCCCGAGCCTGTCAGTGCCTCTGGGTCAGAAGTCAGAGCTGCGGATGCACTCAGGGCAGCCGGCCGGCCTCAGGCTTCAGGCCACCACCAAGTTCCTTCTCCACGAGCCTCCCCCCAGCCTGTCCAGTCTCCTGCCCCCGCCGGTTAGGGAGACCCCACGGGAGTAGACTTAGCGCAAACAATCGGTAAGCATGCGCAAACGCCTCTGCGTGTCTTTAACGCCCAGGACGGCAGAGATGCTGGGCAGACTCGGGGGCCCGGATCACAGCCCCCTCCTCCCGCCGGCCTCCCCTCTGGCTGGGAGCACCTGCCTCTGGTGCTGAGTCTGGAGAGGGGACGGAGGTGGTGGGACCCGCAGCGCTCCACACACGGCAGGGGCAGCGTCCACCCGCGGGCCTGAGGAAACGCTCCCCTGCTCCCTCCCGGTGCCCCCAGGGGTTGAGGGGACGGGACCCTCATCCCTTCACCCCTGCGTCTGGGCAGCAGAGGCCCCCTCCCTCCCTCCAGCCCCAGGTCTTGGGCTGGGAGCCCCTGACACGGCTGCCCCCCAACCCACTCAGGGCTCCGATGATGCCATTCCTTTTGCCTCCTGTTTCTCCAGACTTCACCTCTTTTCTCCTAAAAAAGAACCCCCTCCGCCCACAAGACCTGACGGGCCCCACCGAGCTGCAGTCTGGTTGGCGCATCCAGCCACAGCCCCTGCTCCACTGGGACGTGCGGGACGCGGACGTGCTGCCTGGTGCCTCCCCCTGCCACCCAGGTGCCCTGCAGAGGCTGCCACGTGTCTCTGCGAGGACCTGGACCCCCAAGTCCTTCTCCCTGAAGCAGAGGGCACGACCCTCACAGACAACTGCTTCCCAAATCTGCTCCACGCCGGGCACAGCAGGCTCAGGAAAGCAGCTCTCGGTCGAATAAAGGGATGGTATTTAGAAACACGAGCCCTGCGTGCGCTTCTGAAGCGCCGGGTTCAGGTGAGTCCTCCCCAGCTCCACCTGCAGGCCTCGGGAGAGGCTTCCGTGCCCGGCCAACCAGCAAACCCTGAGAACGCATCACCAGCTGCCGCGTCCACGGGGGTAACACCGCCTGACACGGGGCGCTCCGGGGACGCGCTCCCGCCCATCGCCTGGAAGGTGACCGACATGCAAGCAAGTCCAAAAAGCTCCTCTGACCAGGAACTCTACTTCAGACGGACATGCTGACTTCACACGCATCCAGAGAAACAGCATCTGGCGAACGCTGACTAGAGACACGTGGAAAACGTTTATTTTCTCCAAAACAGTGACGTCACGAATGAAGAAAGTAAACTGCGTGCAGACTCATAAACAGGAAATCCTGAGCAATGATAACAGCCCCTCGCCCCACGGCCCCACGGCCCCACGCTTCTCCCCAGAAGACCGCTCCCAGCTCAGATCTGCTAGCAACCCTGTCTCCGTTAAACAGGGAACACCAGGGCCCCAGGGTCCCTCGAGCTCGCTGCCCCCGTACCCCGGATGCCGGGCGCAGGGCGTGGTGCGCGGTGGGAACCAGCAAGCATGGACGGACGCGGGATGGATGGGGTCGGGCAGGCCGCGGGATCGCTAGCTGACTGCTGCTCTTCCACCTGCATGCACGCCCCTACGTCCCCCTTGGCACAGACATGCATCGTGCAAACAGCAGGCTGGGCCCGTCTCCCCACGAGAGGCAAGGGCAGGCGAAGTCCAAGGAGCTGCAGAGCGGGGTCACTTACAGTTGCTCTAGAGAGGCAAGTCCCTTAAACGCTTGCCTGTCAATTGCCTGGATCTCATTCTTGTACAGATAGCTGAAACAAGAAACACGGGGAGGGTTAGCACGCACACCCGAGGCCGGGCGTCGGGTGGGAAGAGGCATCAAGTGGGCCCGCGGAGACAGCCTTCAAGCCAGGGCCGCTCTGGGCTACAGAGGACGCTCACACGGGGAGCACAGGTCCTCCCACCGAGGCGCGCCCCCCCCCCCACCAAGGAAGGCCTCCCCGGAGACGGCCAGACCACCGCTCCGTCTTCCGGAAAGTCACAGTCTCGGAGTTCAGCTTGCGAGTGGCTGACAAGGCACTTGCTTCAGAGCCTGAGGGAAATAAAATCATTCTGACAAACACGTGAGACGCACTGAATGTAGGATTCTGCGCCTGATACCCACACGGTTTCAGAACACCCAGGAGTCCTCTGAGGGGCAGGCGTTACGGAGACTGACCCGCCGGAATCCGGTTCTTCTGAGACAGACGCAGCCAGGGCTGATCAGAAGAACCCCGCGGCTGGCCCGCTGCCTGTCTCCGCACGGCCTGCAGCTGTGAATGGCTCTTACATTTTTTAATGGTTAAAAATTTCACGAGAAGCACAGTATTCAGTGGCATGTAAAATTCAGGCTTCAGTGTCCGTAACACAGCTTTGTCGGCACACGGCCATGGCCACTCGTTTAGTGAGTTTTGTGCTCAGATGTTTGGTCCTCAAAGTCTCAGGTAGGTCCTGCCCCGTCCTTTACAGAAAGCGCTGGCCAACTCCTGAAGGAACCTACCACAGGTGAGGACTTCCACTCCAAAGTACCACGATTCCCCCAGAACCACAAAAGCGCGAGGCGCTGGGTCCTGGACCTCATCACACGACCCTGCAGCGGCCGACCTCCCAAGAAGGCTGCTGGAAGTAGGAGGAATCCTGCGCTTGGACGCAGAGACGCCCGCCCTGGGCGTTTCTCCACCGCTGGCGTGCCGGGGCGTGCGTCCCTGCATCTGAGCCCTAGTGTGCGCTGCGGCCCGTCTAACGGCCTGCTGTGCTCTCAGAGCCGCCGTCCTCCCAAGTGCCCCCCCTTCTCTCCGTGCAAATCCGCTGAGGCTGCTTCACGGAGAACCACAAGCCGTAACACAAACCAGCCAGAATCTTCCCCCAGACTGAGGCTGGGGGCCTCTGACAGAGGCCCGGCCCGGCGTCACTTCCTCAGGCTGTGGGGAGGGGTCCCTGCAACGCTCCTCACCAGCCACGTGGTCTCGAGTAAGAATCAACGTTTCTCTGCCTCGGTCTCCTCGTGTGTGAAGTGGGAGAGCAGCAGGGCCTCACGGGACGGCTCAAGTTCAGCAGATACACAGAAAGCTCTCGAGCGCACCCCGCGGGCAGCCCCCGTTCAGGGGAGTCACCACCCCGGGGGCACCCCCGTAGGAAGTGAGCCTGAGCCCAGGAGGTTTCTGTGCCCATGGACACCACCTTGCATGCACTTCGAAGAAATCAGAGCAGAGGAGTCCTCGTAAGGATACGTGCACAAACCCATGCATGTCGACAGAGACACCAGAGTGGTCTGTCTTCGTGAGAACAACTGAGTATCCATCACCTTCTAATAATAAACTGGAAGTAAGTCTCTGCTTTATCAGAGTTGGCCCTTTGAACAGGAGTCCTCACCACCTCAAGGGCTAACGTCACCATTAGGAAATACTAGTTAAGGAGGAGGTTCACTTCTTAACCGGAAGTCACTGGGATGATACGGACACTCAGCTTCTAGAAACACACCTTGGCACTGGTAAATACGCAAGGCTGAAATCATCAGTGCGCTCCCTAAGCCTCTGAGTATATGCTGCACGGTCTCCCAAACCAGCGCCTGTCGGGGCGCACCCTCCCGAGGCCTGGGGACCGGAGGGGGCCGGGGACCACGGCAGCCGGAGGAGGGGGTCCGGGACCCTCCCACCACAGCCGCGTACCTGTCCTCGTGCCCCTTCTCGTCACGGTCCGTCTCATCTGGTTACTGCTGAGCACTGCTCAACCCGGGGACCTGCGAGGCCTGCCGCCAGTGGGCCTCTCGGCCAGGCTCGGGCGGGAGGGAGGGGAAAAGGTGGGAGCACAGACGTCTTGAGAACAAGCCGGTCAACAGACCAGGCTGAAAAATATTATTTTAAAAAACTGTCTTCAGTGAAAAATGAAACATCCCAATCACTTAACGCTAAATATATTCGCAGAGTAAACAATAAGGTCCTCTTAAGTAATTCAGATCAAAAGCAAAATACAAAGTGACAAAAGAATCCTTTAAAGTCTAAACATACACACGCCTCAAATACTGCTTATCGGGTAATTTCTGAATCTGCCTTCCAGAAAATAAACACTTTCTTCTGGAGCTTGCATAGCACTTAAAATTAAAAAAAAAAACAACAAAGCAAAACATAAACACATAAGTAAATAAAAACCCAAGAAAACACAGAAGGCCCATCCCTTGTTTCAAAAATAAGCGACAAGGCACAGGCGCTTCATCTGTGAGCGGCTCTTGTCTGCAGCAGCAGGTCCATTAAACCTTTCCTTGCTCTTAAAAAACATGAATAAATAAAATTAAGAAAATAAAAATAAGCAAAACGGCGTGGTGTGAACATTACTCAGTAAACCCTAACACACTGCACTGAGCATGATGGACAAACGTGTCCAGACACGGCACCTGCAGACCCTTCATGGGGGGAGACGTCTTCTCCTGCAGAGTCAGTGCCGCCTCCGGTTCAGAACCACCGTCTCATCGAAGCACAAGTGACTTCAAGACGTCCAGGCTCACACACCTCCCCAGAATCACTGAGATAAGCCCCTCATTAAAACAGTGCTCCTGAAGTTACCGGAGTCCTGAAAGTAATTTGCTCGAAGCACACGGCACGCACTTCTAATCTGTGCAGAACCAGCCACACACTCATTGTGTTTCCTTAAAAGTTCCCAGCTTTACAGTGAGTGCCTGTGAAGGAATGAAGCCAGGCGAGGTCATCTTCCAACTGCAAAACTGACTTCCACAAGCAGATGTTTTAAATGCTAATAAGCTTATTAATTCACGTCAATTTGGAAAGTAAAGTAACGCTGAACTACGGAAAAGTAAGCGGTGAAATCGCGTGGAGGAGGATGGGGGACGTTAGCAGGAGCGCCTGGCACTGCAGAGGGACGTGCGCCTGCACCCTACACCCCGCCCGCAGCTGGACAGCAGCTCGGAGCCGAGCAGCAAGCGCGGGGCTGTTCCCGTCGGCAGCTGAGTACGAATTCCCCCCCTTGCACCTCAAGAAGTGGAGAAACTGAACGTCACAGAAGGCAATGCTTCATGCTGAGGACAGCTCCCCCGAGAAACCCCAGCCCAACTTCACTCGCCCTCTGAAAACAGGACCCCCTCCTCACGTGAATGTTATTTACTGTAAATCACAAACAGCGCGACATTCCGCTCAAACGGCCCAAGCCCGGTCCGCACTTACAGGTATTTCAGGTTCTCCAGGTCCTCAAACGACCCGCCGGGCACACTCCTGATCTGGTTGTTGTTGAGGAGCCTGCGGAGAGGAAGCTCCCGTGAGAAGAGCAGAGCAGCAACACTGCCGAGCTCCTGTCAGAAGCTCACACCAAGCATCGCGGAGGAGGCCACAGGACGCTCAGACCACGGGCCATAATACCAGCATCCGCCAAGCACCGCGGAGGAGGCCACGGGACGCTCAGGCCACGGGCCATAATACCAGCTCACACCGGCTGCCGCGGAGGAGGCCACGGGACGCTCAGGCCACGGGCCATAATACCAGCTCACACCGGCTGCCGCGGAG